AGTCGGCATTAGACGTGAATTCGTCGACCATAACGTTTTTCTTATCGCCCTATCGGAATAGCGATATTCGCAATCGGCCAGTACAAGTGTAACAAACGAAAGATGTATCATGAATGAATATCGCGTAGCCAAGAAGTAATTTGCAAGAACCAACTCTTTGTAGGCGTCAGGTGGCAGCTTAGTAGACATTTCATCACAAACGAAATTAAGTAGGTTAAAATCGGGATGTAGAAGACCAAACGATCGTGAACGCGTTTGTGAGAACATTGGGTCACAAAGAAGAAAAAATGACATCTTATTACAGAAGCAAAATAATATAAATCTCATCTGAGTCGCTATTTTCAAAATAGTCGTGATAGCTTGTGATGAACAAACGTTTGTAACGGGGCACGTCGCAACTATAGCACCAGCTGAAGCACCGCAAATTTTATATCGGACAAGAAACGGAGCGTATTCCTGGAAAAATCCCCACAAAACTCTTCAAAAGACTGAGAAAGCAAAACACAAAACCAAGGCCTACTCTCTGCCAACCGGAGCAATCTTCGATGAGTCATAAATTTTTTTTGCAAGCCAAACGCGAAGCTGTTATACTGCAAGTTATCCGACCAGCTAACATTTAAGCGGTTTTCGATTCTTCAGAGCCTGGAGGGTCGGGTAATGGAGGTGTTCGCCTGACTGGGTTGTGGGCAACCTGGTCTTTCTCGGCTCCGAAGAAGGTAGAACTGCAGGAACGTCAGCTGATCAAATATAGTGTGTAATAATAGGTCGTTCCACTGGTTATGGCACCAGAGCAATGAACACCCAACTTATTATCCATAGTAATCAAAACTGCATATTTTTGATAGCGCTCAATTGCGCATTTTCTTGCGAAAATTTTGATATACACTTGCCTATACTTGCTTAAAGATGGAGCTGTCTTTGGAGCAAATCCTCTTGCTATTCATGCACGACTGGCGCATAGGGTGAAAGGCTAGTGAAGCGGTGCGCAAAATTAGTGGGGCTTTGAACGATGATTTGGTTGTAGAAGGGACAGCCAGCGAGTCGTTCGCAACGTTGTAAACTGGAGAGAAAAGTTTGAAGTGTCAGTCAAGCTTGGGCCGTCTACAAGAAGCTCCAATATTCTTGCGCAATGGTTCACTAGTATTTTTCCCTACGCGCATTCGTGCGTGAGTAGCAAACAAACTTGTTCCCAGACAGCTTAATCTTAAAGCAAGTAAAGGCAATTGTATACCAAAATGTTCGTAAGAAAATGCGCAATTGAACGATGTCAATATATTGTAATTACGTTTACTCTGGTCAAGAAATTTAGTGTTTATTGCTCCAGTGCAAAAACTTATGGAGCAGCCTAATAACAATCTTGTTCTTGGCTTATAGAGAAAATCTCCAAAATATAAACCATTAATAGCTAGTCAAAGACCGGCTCTCTCCAGGCTTTGGGTTTCAAGAATGAAACTATTTCACAGACTGCGCTTTTTATACACAGACAGAGCATCAGTAGTTTGAGATGTTCTCGCCAAAACAATAGTTAACCTTCCGACGATTTCGCCTTCCTCAACGGAGTTGAATTTGTTATATGGGGAAGGTCACCGGTGAGTTATCCGTGATTATAATCGTGGAATCATTTAATTATTCATTGCATCTGACAGAAACGGTTACCTCCCCAATAAAAGTAGTTTAGCGGATGCGATGATTGTGGAATCGCCGAAAGGATAGCCATCGATTTTGATGGCAATATACCCACCACGCGTTAGAACCATATAAAAAAGGCATGTTTGCAAGATAATTTGATGGATAGAGTGATGATTTCCTTGATAACAACTCACTTTTACTGCTGCAACCACTCCTGCATGATAGATGCATAAAGATCCGCAGCCCGAAAACGACAAAATCATTCGTTCAGGAAAACAATTTATCATCAACATCGTCGGTTGTTGACTTTCACCTGGATTTCTGAGTTAACAGAATATATGACGGAATGCTGCTGCAAAGAAGAAACGATAAAAACTTCTACAATTCAATCAAATAGCACGCTAGTATATAGAACGTTTTGGATGAAGATTGAGAATACTGAAGGAGGAATAAGAGTAGAACAGGAGCCCCGTAGTGCAGCAATTAGCACGTGACTGAGAAATGGGGAGACCGAGGCATAAGTCTCGCCCAAGATTCCGTTTTTTTGAGTCGGATCGGACAATCAGAAGAACCAGAGTCGGGGACGCAGAATCAAAATCAATTACAAAATCAGCTAGCAGATGAGGCAGACTTCACATATCACCAAGATTCGAATCGTGTAGAATGCCATTCACCATGGGACTACAAAAAACTTACAATAAAGGAACGAAAGAAGGAGAAGGGATTAGAGAGAGAGAAAAAGAAAGAGAAAGAGAAAGAGAAAGCGAGAAGGGAAAGAAAAGAAGAGAAAGAGAAAGAGAAAGAGAAAGAGAGAAAAATAGTCTTTGCTTCTGCATCTGCCTCTCTTTCCCTCTTTCTTTTTCTCTCATTGCTCTTCTCTTTTTCTCTTCTTCTTTCTTTCTTTCTCTCTCCCTCTCTCTACTAAATCAGTTCTTCTTATTTTTCTATTGAGTTGACATATTATATCACAGGTCATTAGACACACTCCTCTTCATACATCAACGATTTATCGTCATAAAATTTTTTACACGCCTCTTAGGATTTATCGAAACATTTAAAGACTAGTTTTTGCAATTAACACAAACTGATGTCCTCACCCTCCACTGATCTTGTTTTACCTCGCCACAGAGTACAGTAGTCCTTCCGGTTCACAGTGTGATGTGACATTATGTTACCTTTTTCAGATGTAATTGTAGCGTAGAATCTGAGGTAGACGCCATAAATATAACAGACAGTCCAGTCATTGGTGGTGAAGTGATTTTTTGGTCTCTAATTACTGAAATCGTTCTTATCTTAACAATAAATGCTTCTGGTCTGAAAACGACCCGAAAGTCTTTCATTCTCGTCTCATGTCTACAACAGTAAATTTTCCCTACGGAGTGACGATGAACATTATAGGCAGATTACGAGATGACCAGTGAACTCCATAGTATCAACTTCCTTGAGCACTCAATCATGAAACAACTATGCCTCTATTCTCCAAGTTTGTAGTATCTGTATTGGAGGGATAAAGGGTTTGAGCCACTTGGTTTTTAACTTTTAAGGCGTTATAGGACTGTCTATAACTACTATAAATCAATTCATGGCTTTCTAGACAACGATCTGAACAAATTTTTGAAGTAAGTGTTAAATTTCTCTCCCACTATCGCCATCAATCTTTCATTGCTTTTTTAGTATCAACTTCATAGAACATCAATATCTTTCCCTACAAAAATCCGTTTCCACAAGGAGTGCGACAAAGATAACCCGTACATCATGTCGTTTCCGGCAAATAAATGCAGCACTATTCTTGGAAAGAATTCAAAGGTTTTCTTCTCTCAGATCAAACATTAGGATATGAGACCTCGGATTTCCTAAGTTGCACTAATCACTGACTGCCGATTATTTTTGAGAACATATTCTAACACGTAGAATGATCCTGTTTGGCCTAAAGTGCGTTAAAATCCGTAGGGCCGATTATTTTTCTTCGGTGTTCATTTTTTCTCGAAATCCTATATACTTTTAAGTAGGTGACTGATTTATTGTTTATTTTGAAGACCAATACTGGACGAGTTATTACAGTCACAATGATAAACATTATGACCCCATATGGCTTGTACGTGTTATTCTATTGTTGTTTTTCAAATAAATATTTATTTGTGAAAATCTTCCTAATTTCCCATACATTTTTTACTTAATATTACTTCATGTACTATTGAACTCGAAAAATAGGGCATAAAATGAAGTGGAATGAAGAATTGCTCACTGAATAATCTCGCAATTTTGTGTGTATAATTTTGTAAGTACTTATGGTGTTGATGATTGTAAAATGTCTATGAAAAAATATCATTTCGAATGACTCTAAAGCTCACTTCAGTATTATCAAACTAATCTCATAGCCTCCTAAACAATCTTAAGACATTCGATGAATTTATTTTTTATCTATATTGGATATCCATTTCGACTAACAAAAAAAGATAAGAAGCGCAAAGATTCCATTAATCGTATTTCGCAATGTAATGGTCTGCAAAACAGTGTAATACGCCACCATTGCCGCTGATGATTACTGTTCCGATCTCTCTCGATAGGTTAGCCATCTTGACAATTGCTCAACCCTTTTCTTTCTCTGACTAAGATTCTTATTTGAGACGGTTCAAATTCACCACCTTAGGGAAGTCATGAAGACGTTGGACGATGTTATTGAATATTAAAACAACGCACTGGCTCAAATATTTTAGGACAGTGCTGAGTCCTATGGCAATCATCTCTAGTTCATTTATAAATGATTTTCTAAGCACTTCTTTCACTTACTCTCAAACATGTCTGGTACGTGCTTGGCTTTAAAATTGATGCTTTGGTTGACGATTTGCTCTTCGTGCAGCGATAATGCCAACATGAATGCACTACATTCGTTCACATTCATCAGTGAAAGCCATTAATGAACGGACGTAGAGCTGTCCCGTGCGTTCACTAAATATTTGCACAGACAGCTATTTTAGCATTAAATCCGTTACTTGCACCGGTGGACATATTTGTGGACGATGATGATGATGACGGCGACGAGACGAGGTAAATCATGTGATAACTGAACTCTGTCCACATACGTTAGCAGCTTCTATTTGCTGCTTGCGTAAGAAGACGTAAGAATGAAAAACTTTCAATATTCTGTAGACTTGAACCTACTTTTCACTAACACTCCGTAATAATAAGGATATGAAGACAGTTTAGTACCAGTGGTATATCCAACTGAGTATCGTATAATTTTGAATGCTTCATATATCTTAAGAGAACTGATTGGAGAGTAAAAATTTGACCCCAAACGAGAGTTGAATCCACTTCCACATATACCCGAGACGACAAAGACATTGAAAAATGAGTGGTAGCGAAACGGTGCCTCGGTGGTGTAGTGGTAGCATGCGCTCCACTATGGGTGAAACGCGAGTTCAACTCCCGCTTGAGTTCACACTTTTTGCTCACCAATCAATTCTTTAACTACATTTCTAACATCGAAACAGCGCGAAAATGCGGGAAAAACATAAAAAATCATCGATTTTGAATGAACTGGCAGAGCATGGATTTTTACATCTAAGAGTATTGAAACGTATGTAAAACATTCGATCACGGCGGTAGCTGAACCCGTGTTTCACCCACGCCGTTAGCGCGTGCTACCAATATAGCACCGTGACCCCCGTCTCGCTAGCACTCTTTCTTCGATATGAACTATCGTAGCTGTCAGCAAAAGACCTTCAACGAGTTTTTTCTGACAAACAGTCATTGGCACTGGACCTAGTTAAGAAGACAGGTATCAAAAATGTAGAAAGAATAAGAAAGATAAAGCTTACGGCATTGATCAATCCTCGAGGGATGTACTATGCATTCGTATTGAAATAGTTTCTCATTCTCTTTGAAATCAGAATGAGCAAATGTACAGTCGTGAAGATCTGAATGTATTCACCTCAGCTGTTAAGGTAAGGAAATAACTGCTACTCTAAATTAATTACTGAGTGGTTTTTATTTAATAGATCATAGTGATTGTTACAATGGGACTGAGGTCACGACGTCCGTCGAGTTATCTAATCGTATGTGATGTTAAACCGATGTCGTCGAAAGATATCACAATGACTCAATGAAAATGCACGCGTGTGATCATACCTGACATTGGTCAGGTCGGCCGGTCATTGAGACGACCGTAATAGTTCAAAAAAAACCCAAACAACGTCATTTGTGTGATGTTTTCGTGCATTTTTCTCGTCGCCTTTTTTCGAAGACTGCCTTATTATATTATTGGCTATTTTCGTCTGATTCAGGCATTATTACGTTGAAGAAATGTGGAAAGATTGAGCGCTCGTTAATAACATTTGATAATTTAAATTTTTCGCGTTCATGAAATTGTCAACAAACAATCGTAAATGTGGGAGTATCTTAAGATATCAAACGTCGTTGTCAAGACGATTGTAACTGTTGTACATACGATCATGTTTACGTTTCCGATTAATATATGATATATGGTTTTCAAAATGATATCTAAGTGAGATTAGCCAGTTGCTGTTTCGCCCTTGTAGGCTCGTCAGTAGTAATCGGTTTAGTCGAATTCTTGTGGGAGGCATATACGTCTACTTATAAGGGAATCGACGCCAAATTATCAAATCACCTCAGGTCGAGTGTGACAAAATCCCCGACATTGCACTGACCACGGTTGAGCGCTTATTCATTCGACCAGTCACAAACTGCAATGCCGCGAAATTTTGTCACTCGACATGCAGTGATTCAATGATTTCGCGTCAGTCACTCTATAAGTAGAGGTATATCACTCCTGCGAGAACTAGGCTCTACCGAAAGGCACCGTACTACTGAGGAGCCCGCAAGGGCGAAACAGCATCTGTCTGGTATGTATAAGTACCGTACCAGACCTCATCATAAAAAGCTCAAACATGTTAACATGTTATCAGATTACCACACTTTTTTCTTTGCAATCCAATGCTCGAGTTTATATAACGTAATTTGTTTTATTTCTGATCAGAAAAGGCAAATGAAAAACCGACCTCACTCGCTGGAGACAACTTTTCATAGGAGTGTTAGTAACCGTTTAAAAGCGTGACTTAAAGCCACGGCCACACGTCGTCGCTTTTTCCAAGCATTCTTCTATAACACTGTGATCTCCACACAAAGCTAGGTTTCAAACACGCATATTTTTTGCCGGACAGAGCTCTTTCTTTGGACTACTAATAATCATTCGATAGCATAATCTTTGATTTCAACGCTGGGCTTATATCCTGGAAAGACTGTTTCCATAGAACGCAATAGGTAAAATAAATTGATTCCCATTTGGATCAATGGACATTAGTAGAATAACGCCTACTCATCACATCCCAAGGTTTCTGCGTAAAATAGAGCAGTATCGATGCTGTAGATATATATATGTATATATATATATATATTACTTCAAAATTACAGTATTTCTACTGCTTATTTCGCAGTGTTATGATGTTACTTATATAACAGAGAATTGAGTGGTGAGCAAAAACACGGCCTCAGGCGGGAATCGAACCGCCTATCATCCTATCCGGGGACGCGTGCTCTAACCACTACACCACCGAGGCACATTTGCCCGATCACTCATTCTGTAAATTATATATATATATATATATATATATATTATATAGTATATATGTCCACGGACCTCCCTCTTTGAGGGATCCAGCCCGGTTAGTCGCGAGGGCACGTGGCGCGTCCCCAGGTGGTGGATAGGGGAATAAAACGCGAACCAAAAGCGACCGTGTGCTTTCCAGAGACGCAGGTGGATTCAGGGGACGAGCTCCCTGCTTCTGCAGCGCCGACTTGACAAAACTCTATTTCTACGAGTCAAGTCGGCCAAAAGCCTGCAATCAAGCGGCTGGGAAGTACATGGGAGGCGGTTAGGAGTCGCCTCCAACAAATAAGCTCCTCCCGCTCCTCCGAGAGAGACTGGCAAGCTACTCGTGAGTACCCAGCCCCCACGTTTAGAGCCTGGCAAGCTACACGTTGGGTATCAAAATGCCAAAAACAGTAACAAATATGGGCCTCATTCCCCTGACCCCGAAAGAGCCCCTGGTACGGCAGCGCCAGGTAGGACGAGTACGGAGAGGCTGCTAAAATCTCAGGGCCGAACTAGGCTGCCAAGATCGAAACGGACTAAAATGACGATCTGTACCTACAACGCAAGAACCCTTGCTCACGAATCCGCAGTAGAAGATCTATTGATTCAAGCAAGAAGAATAAGGTACGACGTCATTGGCCTGGCTGAGACGAGAAGGCGCCATCCTTTTCACGCTGTCTATGACACCGGAGAAGAACTGTTCCTTGGAACATGCGATCGCAGAGGTGTCGATGGCGTTGGCGTCCTCGTCAAATCGAATTTGACCGTGAGCATTGATTCGTTCGAACAACTAACAACCCGTATCGGACGATTACGGTTGAAACGATGTGGTTCTATGCCGGCTTTGACCATCTTCGTTGCTTACGCACCAACATCAAGCTATGACGAAGACGAAGTCGAAGCGTTCTATATGGACCTCGAAAAATTCTTCAGAAAAGATCATACATTCTTCAAGGTCATTGTCGGAGATTTTAACGCAAAAATTGAACCCAGGAGAACGTCTGAAGAACGTCACATAGAGACCCACGGACTAGAATGGAATGAACAGGGTGAGAGGCTATCCGAGTTTATCATGACGACCCAAACCATCCATGGTAACTCGCAATTCCAAAAGCCTCTTTCTCAGCGATGGACGTGGGAGTCTCCCAATGGAGAGTACCATAACGAAATAGATCACATCATAGTAAATCGAAGGTTTTGCCTGACCGACGTCGCTGTTGTTCCCAAGTTCTACACGGGATCAGACCATCGCCTCCTTCGCGCAACGTTCCGATTTTCGAGGAGAGGAGAGAAAGCCGCTAAATTCAAACAACGAAGTCCCAGAACAACCATAAACTGGGATGTATTCAAATCATTAGTCGGCTCTTGGGAAGATACCGTTGTCGACAACATCGACGAAGAATACGATCGACTCGTTGAATATCTTCACGTTAGCGCTATAAAAGCCGAGAGTCCTAAGGTCACGAAGAGACGCTTGTCTCCGCAGACACTCGAGCTGATACGTCAACGTGGAATCGCACGAGCTGCAGGCAACCGAAACCTTACGTCCGAACTTGCGAAACGATGCAGAGAAGCGATAAAAGAAGACCTTAAAGAGAGAAGAGCAGCAGTTATGGCAGAAGCTGCAGAAGCTGGGAAGAGCATTCGCAAAGCCCAGCGAGGCTTCGCCAACTATAAGACCAAGATGATTGCACTCCGATACCCTGACGGGACACTTACAGCTTCCAGAAGGGCTATGGAGAAAATCATCCACCAATACTACTCGGATCTCTTCGCTAGCCATGTTCTCTTACCGTCATATAAATTGAAAGAGGACGAATATGTCGTCCCACCGGTCCTCCCTTCCGAAATCCGACATGCTATATCGTCGGTGAAAAACAGAACAACACCCGGTCCAGACAGGATTAGACCAGAACACCTGAAGAACCTGCCGCCAGTTCTCATCAACAGCCTGGCTCGGCTCTTCACTCGCTACCTGTCAGAATGCAAGGTCCCTATTCAATGGAAAACCAGCAAGACCGTATTGTTGTTCAAAAAGGGAGACCTTCACGACATAGGCAATTATCGCCCAATCTGCTTGCTGTCCGTTGTCTATAAACTCTTTACTCGAGTCATCCTGAACAGGATTGACAGAACACTGGACGAAGGACAGCCATGCGAACAAGCAGGGTTCCGAAAAGGATTTAGTACCATGGACCACATCCACACGATCACAAGACTCATTGAAGTTTCGCGAGAGTACAAACAACCACTCTGTCTCACTTTTATCGATCTGAAGAAAGCCTTTGATTCAGTGGAAACAGAAGCGGTTATAGAGGCTCTGGATAACCAGGGCGTCCCTACTCGGTACATAATGATCCTTCGTGAGCTTTATAAAGATTTCACGACCAGAATATCTCCATTCTACAACAATATCACCATTGACGTAAGAAGAGGGGTTCGACAAGGCGATACAATATCGCCAAAACTATTCACTGCCACCCTACAAAACGTCATGCGAACATTAGAATGGGACGAAATGGGAGTGAAAATTGACGGTCGACAATTAAACCATCTTCGCTTTGCTGACGATATCGTTCTCATAACACCAAACATCAGCCAAGCGGAACGAATGTTGACTGATTTCGATAACGCCTGTGGAAAGATCGGTCTTCAACTGAATCTAACGAAAACAATGTTCATGAGGAACGGATGGGTTTCTAATGCCCCATTCACGCTCAACGGAACGACAATTTCCGAATGCTCCAGTTACATCTATCTAGGTCGTGAAATCAACATGATGAACGACCTAGCCCCAGAGTTGAGCAGGAGGAAACGAGCGGCTTGGGGA